TTGAGTCCGAGTGGAAGTTTGAGCCAAATTTGAAGAAATTCCCTCAAGGTGCTCTTGAGATATCACATTTACGAGAATGTGACAGACCAAGTCACATTGACCTTGATCTTTTACTTTTGACCACCAAACTCTTATCAGTTTGTCGTTGAGTCCAAGTGGACGTTTGTGTCAATTTTGAAGAAATTCCATCAAGGCATTCTTGAGATATCGCATTCGAAAGAATGGGACAGACAAATGGATGGACAACACAAAAACATAATTCCTCCAGCCGCAGCTACCGCCAGCGTGGAGGCGTAAAAATCATTCTTCATCTAATTTTACTCCACAGCCTGCAACCTCAAATTACACAGAAAACAGCGTTAGGTAATGAAGATTTTACAGCACCGTTTCAATGCCATTCTATTATTAGGATTGTGTCAATTGTATTCTGTCAATCTGTCGACCAAATCCTCTCCTATATTTGGGATTTGGGAGTCTAACAAGTGTCATTTTAAGTCAAGTAAAGCCATGCCAGATTAAAGGCATTTCTTTAAAAAGCAGACTGTCCTGATCCTCATTTTGTTTCAGATGACATGCAGCCACATTTGCAGAATGCAGTTCTAAAACACTTTGATGAATGTGATGTTTCTGAACATTTATCCTAATGGCACTCTTCCTCTTCTCAGTTTCTGCTGAAAACGACGCCTTTGTGTCCTATAGTATTGTGTCTATATATAGTTGCTCTGCAATTATTTTGGCAGAACTCAGACATCAAACTGCACATTGTTCCATTTTCAGCAGGAGATGGTAGTTAAATGTGACACCTGTGTACATCAACTAAAAGGTCAGAAGAAAGTGGATTTAAACAGTTTCAACTATTTTTGTTCAAACCCGATATAGAGGGATATCAAATTTGACCTTGCAATTAGCAGCACAGTTTGTAGAAATAGTTTTATTTATGTGACTTCCTTCTAAGTTAGTCACAGGGGTGGCCAATAGATGTATCAACAGTGTGTGTGTGCGTTAGTGTGTGTGTGTGTGTGTGTGTGTGTGTGTGTGTGTGTGTGTGTGTCGGACTGGAGGGGGCCTTACCTTAATTGATTCCTAACTAAATATATTCTTTCAGCACAATCAGTGCAGATCACTGCCCTCAGGCCTGCACGGAGTTCTAGCTGTGCATAATTTTCAAAATTCTGTCTTTAATGTACCGATCAGCAATATTCCCTTTCACATTCATCGTGCTCAGTGGCACTGCAATCTTTTCTGGCGTCTCAATGTATCTGCTGAAACAGTTGGAAGCTAAATGTTTTTCTCCACTACATTTCAATGGTTGTTTCAAAGCCATAATTTTTGACTGCTAGAGGGAAGAAAGTAGAGTACAAAACAAACTCACAGCAACAAGCCGTGGTATGTTCATTTATCAAGTTCTTATCGATAATGTACCGAATTATTGCCTAATATTACTTACACATCAAAAAAAGAAACACCTCTTGTCAAGATGTAGTGTTCAGGGTCTGGCCTGGACAGGCTTGTCAAACTTTATGAAGGAGGAACAATGGACTCATTTGAGGGTTTGAGGAGCAGATATTCTTTACAACAGTCACATTTTTTCCGCTATCTGTAAATAAGACATTATGTAGCCTACCAAAAAACATACATGCCCCAACACATCTTTCTTAGAAGACATTCTTAAACGACCCCTACCAAAGAGATTTATTTCCTATGTTAATAAAACCTTTGGCTCAAACCTTAATTACACTACAGATCACATTCAAAAGCAGTGCCAGATTGACATGGAATGTCGAATAGAAGAAAATGTTTGTGCATCAGTTATAGAAAACACACATACTATTTTGAGATGTAATACTGATAGAGAGATGCAATTATTCACAGGCTTCATTGTACACCATTATTGAGGGACAGGATTGATCTGAACTCTTCTAAATCTATTAAATGCAACTCAGAAGTTGGCACACATGCACATATGTTCTGGAAATGTGTAAAGATATGGAAATTTTGGGGAGAAGTGAAAAGGGAAGTGGTTGCCTTGATAGGTTTTGATTTGGGGCTATCACCTCTTCACTGTATTCCAGCTGCCAAAGTGGACGATGCGAGAAACAGCCATAATGCTAAACTGACTGGGATACTCTTGCACTTAACAAGGAGGACTATTCTCAAATTTTGGATCTCTAAGGACGTCCCAGCACTGTAAGACTGGTATAAGGAGGTATGGAGAACTAGGAGAACTATCTCTCTGGAAAAACCAACAATATGGAGGGATTTATCAAACTATGGCAACCTGTCTTGGACACAGTGGACCCCTCTGAATTGGACTTGGTTACATTTGATTAATAACACACAGCAGACTGTAGCATATCCAAGTAATACATCTGTGATTGTCTTGTTGGTGGTGATGTGTTTGTTTGTTTGTTTTTGTTTGTTTTGTTTAATTTGTTGTGATAGTGAGGTTGTTACTCCTGCTGTTTTTATGTTTGGTTCAAGGTGGTTTAAATGATGAAAAAAGTGGTTCTGTGAATATCCTGTAATGGAGATATATAGAACTGTGGCTGGAACCTATTGAAAATAATTAAAAAAAGAAACACAGCAACATGGACATCCCAGTGGGGTCTTCTGTCTGGCTGACTGCTGAGAAGAATATGTACTGGGTCCCCTGGGCTTGTTGGACGTGTAACTTTTTTTACCAGCTTCTCATTTACTGCAGCTCTCCAACATTTCACTCTCGACAGGTATTGTACGATCAACTAGTGTGAGCTTCTGAGCTGCACACAGTCTTATATAAGGGGGGCTAAACAATACACTCAAGAAACAATGAGCTAAGAGCTCATAGCTGTATACAGCTGCAGAATGGGCCATGACATTGGCAGTACAAGAAAGCCTTTTACATTACAGGGAGCCTCTTGATTCACAATTAAAATTTAAAATCAATTAAAGTATCATATCTTTGGGGTAATGTAGATGACAGTAGTTCCCACAAGATATTCCTGGCCAATCTAGGGAGATTAATTCAACATTTCATTCATGACTTCACTCTTCTCTTGCCATTTTACAGGCTCTGAACAGCCGATAAATAGTGAGAGACAACATAGAGTAGCCTCTCCATGTGGATCTACAACAGGTCATTATTCTCAACACACAGCCCATATGGCTGCTAATTATAGTTCGGCATTGAACATTTCAGTGTGTCCATGTCAGAGCCAGGGATGGGTACGTCGCAACTGACCTTTCTGTAGATCTGAGAGGCATCAGCTGTGAATAGCAGTAACAATGCCCTCGGTGACATTACCATTGTGATGTGAACAACATTTCACAGATCATGGAGCAGGACTGTCAAGCTGGGATCACTGCAACCGAGAAATGATAGACGCCAAACTCTTGTCTGACACAACTTCTTGTGTTCTCTTAGTCCTCTTCTTTTTATGAACAATACGATTTTTTTTTATGTTTTAGCTCACAAGTTATCTCTGCTAATTCAAATTAAACCCATAAAATCATCTCTCTCTTCCCTGCCTTGGTCACTGGTTGCTGTGTGTTATTATTGTGGGATTGTTGTCAAACTCTACCACCTGAAGGTGGGGGGAGATACCACCACCATGTTGACCATATGGCCAGCTTATTATGCACTGGCAGAGCATCTTAATGAGAGTCCACAACCTGACAGAGACATTCTTTTGAGTCCACACAGACACATTAACATGCAGACACATGGCCTCATAGATGCAAAAACACACACATGCACAAAAAGTGCAAATGTACATCCACACATGAAGTATGTAGACAAACAAAAACTTCAGTGCCTAGTCTTCTTCCTTTCATACACACACATACACACATGCACACACTACTGAAAACTGTGAAAAAAAATCATTCAAGCATAGGCATCAGCTAAATCCAAGGCCCTGTAGTGACACCCAGTGGAAACAGTCTCACACTAAATTTGTGATGGCCAACAAGGTCAGCACTTGACACAAACTGATTAAAGCTTTGTGTTGTTTTGTGCAGGAGCAATAATTAAAGCTTTTGACATACAGCCAAAATGATGTATTACACATTAGAATGGTTCAAAGCCCACAAGAAAAGGATAAAACCTGACCATGTTTACAAAAAATGTGATATAAATGCTGAATGCTGTGGCAAACTAGTCTATTAACATTAAGTGTGAGACCATAAAACTAGGTATAGGTTATAATACAGCACCAACAACAACAACAACAACAACAACAGAGTACTGGTTCCCATGGTGCTCGTTGGGTCATAAGTTTTACAACCAGAGTGAGATAAAGAAAAGATAAAACTTGCCATCTCATGCCTCTGTTGACCCATTGCTCATCAGTTCTTAATGAAAATATTTCATACGTATGTACAAAGTTCAATCCAAAACACTACACTGGACATCTTGGAGTCATATGCACAGATTGCATTATATCAAAATACATTTTTTGTATATAATCGAACGTATTACGTACGTAAGAATTAAAAAAAGAGACAGCGCTTATGCAAGACCCCCAAAAACAACACCAGTGCACCCTCCATACCGCATTTTCATTGCCCATGGTTATCTTCAATACAGAACACGAAGATAAGTGTTGGCCTTAGTTAATTAAAAAGAGGGGGAGAGAGAGAGAGAGAGAGAGAGAGAGAGAGAGAGAGTGTGTGTGTGTGTGTGTGTGTGTGTGTGTGTGTGTGTGTGTGTGTGTGTGTGTGTGTGCATGTGTGCAAGGGGCATAAAAGCAGTTGAGTGAAGTACTGGAAACAGTCTGGAGTCCACGTTTGTGCGTGTGAGCTTCAGTGTAACTGATCCTTGTACCCTTTTATTGCCACTCATAAAAACTGGATATATGACTAGAAATTTTTGGTCACTGACAAACTTTGATTAGTCACAACACACACACACACACACACACACACACACACACACACACACACACACACACCTGACACACCTGACAGGGCTGGACCTGACTGTCTTTATCACAACACACAGACAAGCAAATGAACAAAGGACGAACTGACTGAGAGACTGACGGAGACTTGGACACAGTTGGTTTCCAGTCCACTCAAAAAATTCATAACTTGTCAAATTTAAGTAATTTAAAAACACATGTAGGTCAGATTTTAATCATTTAATTCTATGTTGACTGATTGAAACTTCTTTCCAACTGCTACAAGTTTGCTGATATTTGAGATTTGAAGAAATTAAGTGAGTTGGAGGTGAACTGAAAGGAGGATGGACTGCTGAAGCCTTGAGGATAAAGATCTAATCAACAGACAAATTAGAGATAACAAGGTAAACTTTCTCTGTTTTCTATATTCAAACATGATTTAATGAGATCAATGCTGACCATAACTGAACATATTACTGAACATATTACACTGTAGCTGATCTATCAGAAAAAAAAACTCCCTGTCTGAATATTTTTTTCTCCTTGACAGACAGACTCTACATTAGCCAGAATAACGAGTAGCAAAGACAACCAAGATGGAGGACTTGAAATACAGAGGAAAGAAACGTGAGGGAAGGCACAGGTAAAAACTAACCTACAGTACATTTAGTTACATTTGTGCTTCTTTTAAGGTGACTGATATTACAGTTGAGAGACAACGGATAATATGAGACATTAAATTAACTTAAATACACATCTATGGACAGCAGCTCACTCAGCCCAGCTTTCACAGATTAATCTTCATCAGCCTGTCTAATAACATAATATACGGTTAGGAAAAAAAGCATCTAGATTACTATCACTTCAAGTCTTAGAAATTCATCAAAGGAAGTTTTATATTCTTGCTTGATTCATGACCTAAATGATAAATCAGTTATCAAACAATTTAATTATTAGATTTGTTCATTTTTGATGATCAACTAATCACTTCATTACTGCAGCTGAGCTCTAATTATTAGATCACAAGGTTAAAATAACACCGCATGAGAAAACCCTGTCCTGTTCTGCCCTACAAATCCAGCAAAAACTGACAGAAAGGTTATTGAAGATACACCTCAGTTAATGTGTGTATATCTAATAGGAAACCGTATTATTCCAAATGTAGTTGCACAAATTAATATCAGATGCTGCTGGTGTTTGTTCAGGGTGCATTATCCGTTCATTATGTATAAAAATAATGTATTGGGATTTGTTTGCATTTGGTTTTGGACAGAAATGACCTGTGATTTGTCCAGATGGTCCAACATGTAATGGTTTTTTAGTGCTGCCATCATTTGTGTATTGGGTACACAAAGAGGTACAATTTACAATTTGGCTTCAACATATGCTTAATCACAATAGCTTACTGGAAGTAAAAGAAAAAATTCACAGTGAATTCATTTCCTTATTTATATAAAGACAGCCCAGATTGTCCTTTAACCAACAAAGCCACAGCACCAAAGGTTATTATGCCATCAAATTTTACAGTTTTGACATCGGCTGTATAAACGAGACAGATTCAGAAAGAAAATCATTCAACACACCATTCAGCTTTGTACTGGGTAGCTATTCCGCTTAATGTCCGCAGGCACACATTATTCGGAGGTTAATTGTTACTGAGATAGATATTTGGTAATGGATACTATCATTAAATTTGCGCTCAGTGATATATCATTAAATATTGTATTACCAGGTTTCTATTTGGTATAATTTACAGTTTGAGGAAACAGTTAATTTCCCTTGTGCACCGCTGCGCTTCTCTTTATTGCTGTGGCTAACATCATCCCCGCAGATACTGACTGCTGTTAGGGGAGTGCTGCTCCATTCAAAATGTTAAATATGTGCTACAGTTTTAATCACATTCTGCATGTTGGCATCTCTGAGGTCAAAACAATCCAGTTTCTGGGTTCAGATTATTTTTATAAATACACTTCATTGATGTTCTACTATCCTCTACATGATTAGGAGAAGGTTTTATATTGAATATTTATATTGATTTTTAAAACTCAACTAAAATACAAATACCATGTGCTAACAGTATCTGTTAAGTCTGAGAACACTCGCAAAGGACTTGATAATCATCATTGGTTTTATTTACAACATTCAGTATATTAATTGTTATGCAAATATGACGAGTGATGTGCATCGAAGTGTGTTGTAAGATTACCAGAGGTTGTTAATTTCAACATGAAAATCTTGGCAAGTTGAACCAGTCTGCTATGGTCTGGGATGTGCAGTGGTCTAGAGTAGAATAAAATACTGTATCATAATAAATATACAGTTTGACGGAACTACTTTTACAGATTTGTATGTGGAAAGCATACATTTAAAAAAATGAAATGAAAAATATATTTCCTGTAAAAGTAAACAAATGTGCCACGTATTCCAACACACACCTAAGGTGGGGACAAACATTATGACTGTTGAGTCAATTATGAATATGACTTGGGTGTGACGACTGATGGGACCAAGTTGGACCTGGGCTGTTCCTGTCTGAGTTACTTGGTGTTGACAGATAATAAAAAACCAAACATAGTCGCAGGTTTCTGAGGGGTTTCAGGAGACATGTTCTCCTCAGGTGAATTTGTCCCCAAAGCAAAGTAAATGAACTGAAAGGACTTTTATTTTTAAGAGTGCGACTCATTGACAAAAAAGGACTTCAGGTGAAGTGGGGGGCAGCGTGCAACCTCAAAAGCAATGGTTGAAATCTATCATAAAACGGAAAGAAGAAGAAGCAATGTTGAAGCTCTGCTGAGACATGTAGTGCAGAGAGAGCTGGCTGCTGCAGGAGGAGTCCTGAGGGAGGACTGAGTCAATACAGCAGAAGCTGCTCTAATACAGCCGCAAACTAGAGCAAAAAATAAGATAAACCAAAGGGCTGAGTTCTAGTCTGTCAACTACAGACAATAATAATTATGACAATAATAATCTGAGATTTCAAGAAATAAGTTATGGGACGTTTGGGACTGTCTCACTCCTAAAGGATGCTTCCCACCAGAAAGTTTTTGTGTGGATAATAAGCCAAACAATGGCTCATCAGAACTGTTCTCAGTTCAGCTTTCCACCTCCAATAATGAGCAGTGTTTGTCTGACGATCTAAATGGGTAACTACCACATCAGCAGAGCAAAAATGTAAAGCACGGCAGACTTTCAGATCGGTAGACTTCTTGTCTTGAAACACTGTCACTTTATTCTGATTAAATAACAACTGGATTCTATTAACCTTGCATAATATTGCAGAAAAGTTTTGAAAATGATCAGAAATCTTGCTGAAACACATAAGCTATTAAAGTCCAGGGGTTTATAAATTAATTAAAATGAATTTATTTATCGTTGATGTGAAAAGGTGTTAAATGCACATTTCAAGAGGTTACTTTTCCAAACAAAAGACACAAAGGAATAGTGAAAAGTATATCATGCATTTGTGTTTGTTGACTCACTCACTGCATTATATCCCATTGATTTTCTTATTTTGAATTGTCACCTGGCATCTCAACTTTGTATTTTCCTTAACATAGAGACATTTCAACCATATATGGATGCAAAAAAGGCACAAATTAGTGCAGAAAAATTCATTAGAATGCAGGAAATGAAGTGTTCGATGCTCAACATCTCTAAGTCTTCAGGTTCATTCCAAGCTTTATGGGAGGTGATAATATAACAAGTTTTTTTTCTAAAGCTGGGCGGACAAATAACAGTAGCGAGGAAGACAAATAATTCTCATGAACAGTATGAAACCATGAGGTCCATAGAGCATTTAGCAGTATGAGAAACTTAATGGTAAAATTAGATACCAAAAACCATTTCTTTCCTGACATTCCTTACTGATAAATAGATTCAGTAACTTTATATTCTGTTACGGTTCTCAGTAGTTCAATTATTAAAAGGAAAGACTGTCTCCCACCAAGCATTTCACCAACACTTAATTGTGATTTTCAGAGAGCTGGAAGTTGAAAAATTGTCTTTGCTCTTCTAAGATCAGCAACTTTTCATGGCTATTTATGACTACTTATTTATATGCCTCATTGAAGAAAAGAATGCGTCACTGTGGGCACACACATGCATCCTCATCTCCCAAACACACCTTCTGCCAGCGTGACTGAGGACATACTGTAGAGCAGTAGCTGATATTTCTGATAGTTGCTATGGCAAAGTGAAAGATCACAAAGGGTTATCAGTTCAAGGAAGACAATCCACACCCTGATAATTATTTTGTACTTTATCTGTCAGGAGTGTGGGGTGGCACAGAGGCTGATAGAAACTCAACTTTCGACTCAAAATGTACCCTGACCCTATCTATTGAACCCTCTGATGACATAACCAGCATCCAATTTCCCAGTGATGATCCACATCTGCCAATCAATTGAATTATCATTACTGTGCGGTAATAAACATCTTTATTTGGTCTCGAAATCTTCCTTGTAACAGGTCACTTCACTCTCTTGTTTATGACTTTTCCCGTATATCAACCCCTCTTCACTGCCAAATCTTTACAGTCACTTTCCATCAGACACTTTGGCCTCTACCTTTGGGGCAGTTAGCTATTCGTCAGTCTACATCGCATCGTCTTTTCTCTAAGTTTCACACTAATACAAAATAAATCCTGCAACATGTTTCAAAGTCCAGCATCAGTCTATTTTTATATGGTTCTCACTAGCTTTCTTGGCCATGGATGGATTCTTGCCGTAATACACAGGATACCTTTGATGATAGTTGAAATCGCTGTATGTGTGTTCATGTGTGTGTCTCAGGGATACATGGGATCCATTCCAGCTGAATCCACCAGGAGCTGAGAAGGAAACTAAGAGAAGATGTTTCCAACTGGCTCAGTCCCTGGTGGCTGTTATTGTGGGATTGGCGGTCTTGACCAGTGCCGTTATCGCCAAGGTAGGATAGTCTGTCTGTGTATTAACAAACTATTATTCATCTATTTAAATGAGGCACACAGGAAGAAGCATCACCATATGGTTCCTGGAACCAAACGTGAAGCCTCAAGGCACAAGGCTGCAGGCTGAATGCCAAGGATAGTCCTGCCCTACCACCTCCAGTTGTGTGTTCAACACGTCCTTTACTAACTTTTGCAGTGTTTGATCTTGCGGGGATGTAGCCATTTTTCTGCCATGGTTCGCGTTCCCCCCAGCAATAGTTGATGAAGATTTTTTCTATATGCTGTGCCTGTGACCAAGTGACCAAGATGGTTCTTCATTTGCTCGTTGTTTATTTGCATGTGTTTTCATAATTTTCAGCTCACGGGGCCATTGTAGAATTCCCTTAACATCACTATCTCTGTTTCCTTGTGTAATCAAAGTAAATGAACAACTGTTCAGCCCCATGAACTTCCTTATTGGTGTCAGGATAAATGACGAGAATAAAGCAATGCAGTGTCCATAAAGGTAATCAGGAAGGGGCTGCCGGTAAATCCCAGTCTTCTTTGCATCTACAGTATGTAACATGACAAATTTTAAGGTTACTGTTGGTCTTCTGTCTCACCTTTCCAAAGTGTTTGGTTTTCTTTAACAAACCCTTTGTCTCTGTTAAATCAGGGCTCCCTCTTGGTGTTGTCAACATTGTCCAGTCCATCCTCCATGCGCAGCCCAAAGGAAAAACAGTTCTACATGCTGATGTTGGTTTTCTGCCTGGTCTGCCCCAACTTCCTGGTGTTTCTGAAATCACTATGGAGGTGTGCCTTCAAGAGCTTTGTAAAACCCAACATGAAGACCATGTCAATGGTATGTTTTTCTAAAGCATACTCATTTATTATGCATGTAATTACAACAAGTAGGAAAATGCATATCATATATCCTTTTTTGCAACCACATATGGTAGGACTATTATCAATATTTGTTTTAATTACTCTCATTTTTTTGTGGCTCTACTTAGCTGCTACGATTATTAATCTTTATGAGGAAGACAATTTAGGGAATAGTGTAAAATGGATCTACACTGTCAAATATTCAGCTTTACTAAACCTAAAACCTGACATTACAGACCTTTTTAAAACTTAAAAGGCTTAAAGTGCATGTGTAATTTGCAGATCTTGACCATAGTATTCTGATAAGTTATAATGTCATGTTTTGAAACACACTCAAACATGATTATATTATTTGGTGAACACAAAAAAATTACTGCACACGTGACACACAGCAGTTCGTCACAGCCACTAGCAGTACATTCGGTAAATCCATATAACATGGAAAAAGAGACTAGTTTGACTATCTGATTGTTAGATCAATCTAGACAGAAGTGCATTTATAAAACTGTAACTGTGTCAGCATGATTTTAAAAAAAATATTGAATGTCAATCTAATTCTTAATCATGATGCTTAAACTTACAACTTTCTCCCACCCTAGGGCCAAAAGAAATACTTAAGTATGAAAAGGTAATGATGTGTGTCTTTGTCTCTTTTCCAGATTTGTGCCATTGAGTGTCTGGTGTCTCTTGGAACTTCAATCCTGGTGCTAATTGTTATGCCTCAGTTTGATGTGTTGACTAATCTCTTCATCAGCGGAGGAGTCTGTATTGTGTCTGCCATTCTGCAGATAGTATACAGACTACAGAAAAAAAACTGGAAAATCCTGTTCCCAATCTGCTCCCTCATTCTCACAGTTGCTGGTAACTCTCTTTATATTTCCCGTCTAACTGCAATGATGTCTGTCTGCCTGTCTCTTTTTTGAAAAAAAAGAAAAGAAGATACTAGGGACACTATTATCGTTTCACAAAAAAAAACAAAAAACATAAAATTTGTAACTCTGCCGGCTTATGGAAGGTCATTTATTTTATAGCCATCCATGCTGACATATCTTTGCATGTTCTAGATCAGAATTAGGTAGGAAGCAAAGCAGAGAGAGAAAGAGGATGGCAATCAGTTATCCTCTTCCTACAGAATTTGAAAAAATAGATGTCATTCTGATGGTTTTGCTCCTTTTTCCAACTTGTTTTGATTTCAGTTAGGCTATAGTTTGTCTTCAGGCTTGACTGAACTGAAGTGTCTCTAATTATCTGTCAAATCAGCTCATTCACTTTCATTCCATTTTTGAGTTTTTCCATGCAAAGTCTGGTGCAGTAAATCTGCCACCCTCATTATGACAAGTATCTCAGATGAATGATGTAAGACTTACTAACTGGCATGACAACACCGGCAAGCTCTGATTTGAGCATTCAAATGCAGGTTGCATATAGGTTACAAGCTCCAGGAAAACACCTCAGCAGCTCACACTGTTTCGAAAACATGTTTGAATACTAAGAAACTTTTAGCTGCGACATGAATATAGCATTAAAGTGCCAGCTGCAACTTAAAATAGTGTGTATTTAACTGCAACCATGTCCTCCTAGAAATTACTTACGATCTACAGTACAAAACTGTTTTCACAATTCTGATGTGGTAGCAAATTATTATGTTCAAAGACATTGGGTTTTATTTGGGTGTTTTTTTTTGTTTTGTTTTGTTTTTTTGAGTAAATGAAGCACCGGAGTAGCGGAAAGATAGTTAGGGTGGGTGGTGATAGGGTTGGGCAATATGAGGGTATAGTGTATACTGTGTGACAGTATAAATGTGTCTACCAGTAGATATTTGGCAATACCGTTCCTACCGTAGGAGCTATTACAGCAGTGTTGCTAGACGGGAAATTTTAAACTATAGTACAAGAGGCTCAGAATTATTGTATTTTGAGGAAAATTATTGTACAGGTGTCATAACCAGCGAAAATGTTAATGCCTCTATCTACAGTAGAGCCAGTGTTCAGTTTGTCTGTTCTGGGCTACTGCTTCCTATAAAGATATTAACAGCTAATTCTTAGGGAATGAAAACACAATGATTCTTATTTTTAGGTGATTAACACTAAAGAAAACATATGTCTAATATTATATTCCATTTCTGCGAAAGGCTGTGGTTCTGATTAAATGTTAAACTTCTTTATCAAACCAGATCACCATTTTTCCCGAACTTTAACCAAGTGCTGCCAGCGCCTAAATCTAACCATGCAAAAATGTAATAATGCTGTAGTCACTATGAGTGGATGTTGTATTTTGAGAATTAATATTTTGTCGGGAAGCCGGGGCGTCAGTGGCGTGGTGGGTGGTGCCGGCGCCCCATGTGCAGGGGCATTGCCTCGCTGCAGCGGTCATAGTTTCAAGTCCCATGTGCGACCCTGCGTGTCAGTCCCCACTCTCTCTCTGTCTCCCCATTTCACACACTGTCCTATTCATTAAAGGCAAAAAGCCCACAAAAACAATCTTTAAATATAT